ACACAAGATCAGCTTTCTCAGCATCGGTCTTACGGGTTCTCTCAGAGGGGCAGGTTGTGCCTGCGCAAGCACAACTTTTTATGGAACAGTGTTTTTCATATATACTGTAGTCTCTGGTTTCGCCGAAGCAGTAGAAGGTGCTTTGGAAAAATACAGACAGCTGGCCCTATATATTTTGTTTATGGGAGGAGGGTATGCTTTTGCATGATTTAAAAACAATGTACTAATCTGTATTCCTCTTGTTTAATTGAACGTCTGAATACAGAGTGATTAGTAATATACTGTGAAAAATGTCTTTAAACTGGCACAGTAAGTTCTGGATGCCTCTTCCAAGCCTTTGTCGTCTTATAGGCATAAAGTAGGAAACGGAAGATTTTTGCTGTTTGTGTGCGTGTGTCTCTGTGTGAGGTGGTGGGTTTAAGGATTTAATTAAATTTCAGAGGGTGGGGGGAAAGTTGAGACTTTTGAGGGTTTTTTTATTAGAGGAACGGGGCGGAAATGGAAATCATACATTTAGAGAAATTTCATTCTATAATTTTTTCTGCGGTTCTTCTAATACACAAAAGCATGTCCTGAAAGAGCACGGCATACCCAGAAGCCTATAAATGGGGTTGGAATGCTGTAGTTCTGTCTGTGTATGAGACAGAGAAAGGCAAGAGAGCCTGCTTTTCTGAACAGCACGTTCAGAAGTGCATGGTGAGGCATATTAGCTGTCTGTCTCTGAAGACATTGAATAAAAATCCAGCTGGGACTGGGGGTGGAAAAAGAGGAATGATGGTCATTTATGTTATAGACTAGGTAGCTTTTTCTGCTCTCTTGATGAAAAAGGAACTACTCTTACCTAATGATGAACTTGAGGATAATAATGGTACTGAAAGAATAATACCTGGACTTACCCTGATATTTGATTTTGTCCTGATGCTTCAAGATATAAACCAATTCCTAAACTTCAGTCAAACATAAAACTGCCGAGTAGTAAACAACTGAAAAATGTGGTATGGATATGAACTATGTCTCCATGGTATATTTTAAAAACTAAGAATAAATAAAAATATTGTAGTGGTATTAATAAAAACATACAATCCAAAGTGCTGAAACCCAGTTCAGCCTCGTAAATCTGTCTTAAAACCTGTTTTCCCCAGCTGTAAATAATACGTGCTCACTTTATGCACATACCTAAACAGATGTGGTGACCCGGAGAGACAAAATGTACTCCCTGAGCACAGCTTTAGCACTAATGAGCAGCAACTGAACCTCCTCCTGCTCCTTCTCCCAGGTTTGATGGTTCCACATCTGTTGCATGTGGTGATGGGGAAACGTTCAAACAGGCTCCTGGCTGGAAGGGTGGCCTTAAAGTTCTCCCTCAGGACTTCAGAAACAACCAAGACAGAATTCGTGGAGCGATGCCCATCTCCCTCCAGCCTCCCACCCTTTTAGGCGAGCATAGCTGGGGATACACATTCAGAAGGCAAAACGCTAGATTTAAGGGAATCTTTAAGAGGGAACAAGAAGCCTGTCATCTGCTGACTTGTATTTAAGGTCTAAGTGTCCCGCAAGTCTCTGGTGATGTCTGATTGCCAGGAGGAGGTTTTAATCCCCATCAAATAGGCAGGTAACCAGTTCTAATGCCATCAGCTTTCCAATGGCAGCTCCCCAACGTGACGAGCCAGATGTTAAATGAGCATTTCCCAGTGTCGGTGCTGCAACCTGGCATACCTCGTTTGGTTTCTTGACCTGCTTTGTACACTTATCAGCTTGCACGCGTAACCCTTTTGACGTGTGCTTGCAAATATATTTGTTTTGGTTCTTTGGTAAGAGTTGGTTGTGCTCTTGGTTTGGAGTCACCCCATTTTGAGAACACAGCATGTTAGAGATGGAGAGAACAAGGTAACTTTTGGGTCATGTCCTAAGTAAACTGGAAAATGGAAGATCAAACTGTGACTTGTCACTTCAAGGTTAAGAAGTAAGGAACCTTGTTTCCTACTAGTGACGAGTTAATTCTTCTAACTCATACAGAGGGTAGGTTGGGTCACTGACCCCCACAATCCAAACTATACTCAGGCTGCTTGCAGCAATTTCTTGATTTAAGAGTTTTTCATGTATTGCATAGTACTTAGGTGAAAACTCTATTTTTTTTAAACCACATGCCAGATTTTAATGAAAACCAGTTCCAGTTTGCTACACTTTTAATTTCTTTTTAAAAAGTGTATATATATTTTATCAAGGTTCTTTCATTTATATTATATCACAAAAATGTGGTGACATAGTTTAGGAATTTTCTCTTGACTACTTTCTCAAAGAAAACTATTCATTTTTGAACACTAATTGTACAATAACTGAATGCTGTGCCTCCCCCTTAATTCAAATCAGTCTTTGAGAGAAACATGCATATTTTATTTTGCCTGGTTTGCCACGGCATTTGTACATTGTACCTAGGAAAACTAAATCCTAACTCTTTCTCTCTCTTTTTCTCTCTCTTATTTCTTCTTTATGCTAAGAGGATTATGCTGGTAAGTTGCCTGGTTTCTATACAACTTTATAAAAATGATAATACTAACATACAGTTTGGGGTTTTTTTCTTTGTATCACAGACTCAGACTGAGTATAGTAATATTACGGCTTTAGGGAGAAATTAGTTTGAAATAAATCAAGGGATCTTAAATTGAGATTTTTACAAACTAGTAAGAGATATGGTTTCAATCTAGCAAGCTACAGGAACAAATGCCATATGCATGTGATCATCTGGATGGAATTCAGAGGAGCTCCTCATCCCTGTGAAGTTACATCTGCTTTAATCCTTTACTTAAAACCGTAGAGCTTTTTGGTTTCCTCTTTGAACTCCTGCAGTGTCTGAGCAAAATTTTCTAATATTGCAGCTCATTTGGTGAATGTCGGGGAATGATCGTGCATACATGAGTTTCTTGGTGCCATTCCTTACCGAAAAGAAACTCAGTTTGTGAAAATCGCCACACATGCTGGCATTGCTTTCAATCTTCTGTTGGCCTTAGAGAGACCAGAGCTGGCTTATCAGGGAGACTGGAGCAGTTTTCACCCCTACAGGTATCAAATCCGTACCTCGTACATCAATGTTTTGGTGGGCATCGTTCTCCAGAAGGAGGAAGGACATAAAGAAGGAAGAACACCAAAAAAGAACATCTTTATGTGTTTGCTCCATCCCAAGTGCAGAAGGGCGGCAGCATTCTCGGCAAACCGCTTTGAAACGGATAGTCATTGAGGGAGCCCTCTCGAAAAGCCGTGTAGCGGACACTTTCATAACAAGTGTCACTTCAGGCAGTGAAATTTTGTCGGATGGTTAGTGCTTTGTTGCTGGTTTTTCCCCTCTCAGTGGCTTCGTATCAACCACAAAAGAAAGGAACAAAGGTACAATAACCGTTTTTTACAAGAGAAATACATTTGCTATTGGAAACGTAGATGTACTCTGTTACCGGATTAAAGCACAAGGCAGAAATACTAACTGGTCCTGTGAGTTCAGTTGGTTATTTTTATTTTCTTGTCTTTTAACTGTATGAGGTGCAATAGGTTGTTGCCATGTGCGTCCCAGCAGCTGTGGGTAACTTTGGTCGGCAGCAAGTCCCCGGGGGCAGTTCTGGCAAGACGGGTGCAGGATGAGTTAAGGGGAGGTCGGTCGGTTTTCTGTGCTCCGCTGGGCATTTGACCACTTGAATCTGCGCTGAGATCACTTACCGTTGCTTCCACAGAAGCCTTGCAAGAGCCACGATGTGGGAATTAGCCGAAATTCAAGCAGGCAGTCACTACTAGAGAGATCCACACATCTACTGCATCACCAGAAGTAAATATTCTTTTAAGTGAAATGCTTCTATCACGAAGGCATAAGAAACGTTCTTTGGGAGCTTTCAGCAAAAAAAACAACACCACATGAAGCAAATTGGAAGTTGCTTTGGAGACGAGAGTGTGTTTAGCAAAGTATTTTTCCTCTGTGTGCTTCAGCACTTCTTCATTTTGCTGTCGAAAGCAGAAGTCCGAGCCCGCTGGCGGTGAAGCTGTTGTGGCATCTCTGCCTTGGTGATCCCCTCGGTGGCACGGTTCACGTCGTAGCGGAGCGTGACGGCGTGAACTTCTCGTCGTGGCTTCAGGGGCTAAAGAGAGAAACCCAAAATAAATGTTTGCTGTTTTGGAGTCTGGTCCGCAATGAGCCTTTTGACTCCACCTCCTCTCTTTAGTGAAATCAGGTCAGTGGAAACTATTTCTAGCACGCGCGTGTGCCAGACTTCTCCGCGGGATTACCTAAGGTCAGGGAGGCTCTGCTTGATAAAAGTCTTCTCTCTCGTAAGCATCGAAGCTTGCTCGGAGCAGAAGCCAGCCTGTGATACTGGAAGGATCCCCACAGCAGTCTGCGACCCGTGCTGACGTCTTTAGTTCCACTGGCCTGTGCTTCTGGGCAAATTTATTACGTTGGGGCAAGCCATGTTTAAAAAATGACATTAACGGGTATTTTCGTTTGGAAGGTTATTTAGGGGGTAAAACCCTCTGTTGAGCGTTCTCTGTAAACTGTTGCATCTTTGTCTTGTGTTATTTTTCAAGGGGTCTAACGTAAGGTAAAGACAGTTTTGAGTTCTTTTTTATTTCTTGAAATTTCCTATTTCATACTGACTTCCTGGGATGATTTCTTGATGATTTTTTTTTTTTTTCCAATTGAAAATTGACCACTATGGTTGGCCGCTGTGTACCTCCCACTATGCGTAGGAGGTACAATGCAACTACAACCTGAGATGAAGCTCTTAGCCAGTATATAAAACAAGGAGGGGGAGGAAAGTCACACCACGTGTAAATTAAATTGAATTTCATGTTTCTGTGCTAGTTTGTAACTGTAGTGCTTAATAGGATAGGTGAAGAGGAGAGGATGTGGAATCACCACTCTGTACGTGGCTACAAAGTGTTGGAAGGTATTCAAATATGATGGAGGTCAAGTTGTTTAGGCTTCTTAAATGTGTTTTGTTTCAAATGCCTCCTTCCTAGGGGTAGGTCTTCATGCTTCATCGGTAAATGCAAGTTTAGTAGGTAGATTTTCTTTTTAAATTCAACCTAATAATTTACCCCGCTCCAATAACCTCGTTCTCAAAATTTGTGAGAAAGAAAGGTTATTGGAAGTTCTGTAGTTTTGTTAACTCCCCTTCTTGTTCGTAGCACTACTGACTTTTTCCAGTAGAGTCTAAGGTTTGAAATATTATCATGTTGGAAATAGCTGACTGTATGATATGATGCTGTATTTTATGTATTAATTTACTCAATGTTTTATTACTGTTTAAAATGAGAGCTTGCGTGAAAAGCTGAATAGAAATGACAATTCCATACTCTGGTATTGCCAAGTTTTAATAATTGAAACTCACATGTGTATTTAGGAAAGGATGATACTACTTTTTTCCCCCCTAAATTAAATGTATTTTTTTCTCATCTAACTTTTAATATTGTTTCAAGACTTGCATCCTCATGCATTGCTCTGCAAATATTGGGGAAAGGGCTATTTTTCATTCTGAAGAAACAAAACCGGTCTTAGCCTTGCTCTGCGTGTGTATGTGCGATGAGGTGAGATTGGCGAGTCCCCAGGGAGGAGTGGGAGAGGTGTGGGTGTGCAGAAGGTGGGGGGCCTCCACACCCCAAAAAGATGCCAGAAGAAGGGAGAGCTCCGGTACTGCTGTTGTTTTGTTGTGCTCTCCCCTTTCCTACAGCAAAGGCTTGGTCCCCCAGCGAGACTGAGTCAGCGGGGGAATGGTAGATGGGTGAGGGAGGAGGAAGATGCTCCCTGGTGTCCTGAAACCTTGCTTACCCTTTGTGTGAAACGTTTAATGATATCTGATAGTGGTCTTGTGAAAGATTTAGAGGGTGTCATCCCATTGCCACTATACGGCAGATTTCCGACTTCCCAAGTAGGTGTAGAAGAGATATGTAGATGTGTACTACGATGGTGGCAGGAGAGAGAACTGAAGGTATCTCCGGTGCACTTTGTGGGTCTCCCTCCCACCCAGGGTCTCAGCAGCATCACTTTTGGGCTCGCTTGTCTCCTCTGGAGTTGGGATTTGAGGAAGGTGGACCATCCGTCTGTTCCGATTAAAGTGCATGAAAGGCTGACCTGTTCTGCCGTCAATGAGGGGATGAATTCCTGATATAGACGAAGGAAACCTCTCTCTTCTCTGCATTTATACGTTGGGTGGCTTTAGTGCAGGCTGCACTTCTGCTTCCCTCAGTTCATCAGCACATCAGGATTGTTTGCATTCTGGTTCTTACTGGCTTACAGTGGGGGGCCCAATTTTCTAAGACAAATGTCTAAATTTAGGCACTTAAAAGCATATGGTTTTGGCTCTGAGCCTGAGGTTTAAAGTTACGCACTTCAATATTGGCATAAAGTGCTTGCTGTAAGAAACACAGGCAACAAATTGAACTGATTTGAAACAAGTGTTAGTGTTCATCTGTAAAGCTAAAAGGTTAAGTGCTGACAAAATAAAAATCTGTGTTTATTGCAGTAGAACTGCTGGTTTACTGACGGCCTCTGCCTCTCTTGAGGATTAAGAAAAAAATCTACTTTTTTGTATGCTTAGAGGATTGGGATTTATATATCTTTGAAAGCAAGGCTAAATTTTATCTGAATGGGAAAATCTACTTTGAGAAACAGGATGTTGAAGATAATGGTGAAAACAGTTTACAAACAACTTTTCTTGAAGGATAAATTGAAATAAAAATTAGAATGACTGTTTCACAATATTGGAGGTGAAAAGTCATTGCTGAATTCATCCGTTCCTTAGCTGCAATCTGTGCTGTAGGTGACCGAAGGAGAGCTACTGTACAAACCCTTGGGTTACAGTTGTATTCCAGATCTGTGTATATTTAAACTTGTTCTGGATTTTATGTGCAAGCTTTTTTACTGATACGTAGAGGTTGCTGAAACGATAAAAATAGTTTCTGATTAAGAAATTGGCTGATGTTGCATGTTCTGTGGTTTTGGGTAGAAAATGCAAATTACTCCAGCCATGCAGAATTACATGTGGCCTCTTGAAAAAGATCAGCCATATTTAGTATTTTATTTTTTTTAAAAAAAGGACCTCTTATGATGAAAGAATGTCTTTTTCTGTCTTTTTCCAGTATTCTTGTGTTCACCATGCTTAGCATATGAGTTATCTTGAAAATCTGTTTGATTTATCATGGTGAGATAATCAGATGGCAAACGATTTATCTTAGCCATTGGGTTTACATTGGATTATAACCAGTAGGTTGGTTTAGTCGAGAAATGATTCAAAATCTCTTTAAAATCTCTGCAGAACATGAATATTTGAATGTTGTTTTAGATAGAGATATCACTGAATGTAACTTTTGGGTTTTGGGGGGTTTTGGGGTTTTTTTAGCTTGAGAAATTGGTGGAGAAAATACAGTGCTCAAACTAAAACAAACCCTCCAGGTTTTTTCTTTCACTGAACATATTTCTACGCTGCTTGTTTGGTTGGCCCCAAAGCTGCTGGGTGGTTGGAGCCTGTAAGCGTGGCTCAGGTAGAGCTGGCTCGTATTTTTGGGAGGCTCCAGATCCCCGGATGCCCAAACGCTCCCAGTTGGACCACACATCTTGGACAGGCTGTCCAGGAGGCAGTTGCACGGCCAAGAAGCAAGTGGGAAACTGCCGTGCTGACAGCTACGTTGGTATTTGCACACAGTCCTAATTGATAGAGCTATTCACGTGGGGAAATAAGCATGTGTATCTGCAGAGTCGGCGGTTTTTTAGGGCACTGAGGAGACAGACAATAGGAGAGTAACAGTAAGAAGAGCCAGAGTTGTGTTACAGCGGCGTTGGTGGGTTCTAGCGTTGCGTTGTATGGGGCTGGAATTTGGTCGTTGCCTGAAAGGAAGCCCCGTGGAGCGCAGAAGCTGGTATTTCCTCGTGGTGCCATTTCTTCTGAATTACAATTTGCACTGCTGTAGGGTGGGGAGATATAAAATAAGGCTTTGTGTGCACTTAGCAATTAAAAATTCCAGTGCAAGTTACTGTGGGCTTGTTTTGAACCCGGGCGATTGTCTTATGCCTGAGTTCCTCCTTCAGTTTTAATTGGATGTTTTCCACTTGTTGATGAGACAGTGATGCCCTTTAAAGAGATAAAGGCATTCAGGAAGAAAGTTGGGAATAATTTGTATTACAAGACATGTAACTGTTGTTTCTGTCTTTGTTATAGTCCGCTGATGATAATTACACAGAAGATCACAACGCTTGCATGCCAGTTACACGACGGTAAGAAAAGGCATCTCTTCCCATGTCCTGAAGACAACCTTTTTATTCCAGTGCATTCTGTGGTTGAGTTACGGAGTGGATGAATGTAGTTCAGCGAGTTGCTCCAAACGAAGAAGAAAAATGCTTTGTGGAGGAAAAAGAGAAACTTCAAGTTTTGATCAGTCCTCTAGAATCAAACTGTCTTTGCAGTTTGTTTTCCCCTTTGGGTGCAGTTTGGATTTTAGCTAGTACCGGTATCTGCCGTTCGGATGCTACAGTGCATCTCCATTAAGCTCTCTGAAAGCTCTTCTTGATTCTCGAAGATCAAGAGTTGTGTTTGATACATAGGTTCAGTCATTAATGTTAATGTAGCACAAACATGCTATCACTGATACATTCAGTGATAATATACTCCGTCAGTTGTGAGAGATGGAATTCAATAGCTTTTTCCCAATGCGGGGAGAAGCACAGTTGCGAGCAAAATAACATTGGCTTCAGTCTTGTGCTGTGCTGTGACAAAGAACGCTATTATTTCCCAGTAAAATGGCTGTGTCTAGTACAGTGCAAAGGCTAGAAAGGTCAATTGTCATCAGTACCGTTAGTGCCCATGTCTACTGGTGTTGCAGTATGAATTTCTGATGGTCCAAGCTGTAGATGACTGAATAAGTAGCCTGCTATAGAGTTGTTCTGATGTACGATTTAGGTGACGGCCACACCACAGACTGCAGGGCCCGGCGTTGTTCGCAAGCCAGGTTTACACAAGTGGGTCTAACGCTTTTAGCTGGCTATAATGGGTGCAGCTTGAAGCTTGGCTAATTGACCTTGTTGACATTCATGTTACTGGGGCTTCTCTGCTTCTGTTATTTAAGCCAGCCAGCTCAGGTGTCGCTGCGTGCCGCAGTGGTGTGCAGCCTAGGTGCACACCTAGAATATTGAAGGTAAACGAACAGGCAGAAAGGAAAAGATAACAGCAGAGGCAGGAGCATTTTAAGCAAACCAGAAATCCTGCAGATTAATGATGGTGGAGAAGGCTCATTGCGTTGTGAACATCCGTATACGGAGCAGCTGATCAAATGGAGGCAGCTTGCAGTTCAAGCATCAGCGACAAATTTCTATTTGTAAAAATTTAACGCGGCTGCCCATAAATGGAAGGAGACAAACAATATACCCAGCCCTTTAAGTAATTAACTGCTTAATTCTTTCCCTGGAACTCGCCCCCTCCCAGTATTTACAAACTGAAATAGCAGAAAGAGAATGGAAATGAGCAGCTTATCAGCAGTCTTTTTAGGAAATGGGTGTTATGTGTGTGTGTGTGTATCGATAATTGTGGCCAGTACGGTTAGAACAGTAGTGTTAATTGATGCCGAGGCCCCAATCTTGTGAAGCTGTAGATATGCATGCTCAGCATCAGGTGCCGTGACTGATCCCACGGTGAGTTGTTCTGCTGAAGCCTGTGGGATTGCTCACAGTACACGCGGCTAAAGCTGCAGAGTGAGGGTTTTGAGATATTTGCTTCGAGCAACACCTGTTTACGCACTGGCCATCATACAAGATTTTTCCATAGATTTCCTGGGACAACGAGTCTGTGCTCTACCTCTGGCCCCAAAGGTCTCGTGCACTCAACAGGAGGTCGCCTTTCCAGTCTGGACCTTGTACAATTCCAGATTATTACTGATGTGTGTGTATTTAGGCTTGCTCCAGCAGCAAGCAACCAGGCTGCTCGTTCACACCAGTGGAGCTTCTGTTCCCTGAGAGCCCATTTCTCTTCCATCGCCCGCTCCTCCTGCTGTGAAATGCTCCATTTCTCACCGAGGAGCCAGCGGGAAGCTGGTGCTTAAATGAGCCGGCAGCTGCTGGGAACAGAGGGGTTTTTTCCAGCCCAGGACTGTTAGGAGAAGATGCTGGGGGTCCCTGTCAGTTGATGGCATTGCCAGTTGCATTGTGCGTGTGGGAATACTGTGGTTGCTCTTCTTGAAAGTGTAGCAAGGGAGAATGAGGTAAGGAAGTGGGTAAAGAGGTAGGGTAGTGCATGAGTACGCTTGACCTGTAAGTTAGGAATTGAGCTGTATTACAACTGCCTGCGACGAAGAAATCTTGACACTTATGGCTTTAGAAAGTTGTCTGTGAGATGCAAACATAGGGCTTTGGGGAGAACTTTCACTGTTTGGCTTTTGGAAAGATCTAATGTGACTTTTCTTTCTCTCTAGGAATAGGACGACAAGCTGAGGAACTCACTGCTGAGCAAAATCGGCTTGCTGTAAAGTAAGAATTTAATTCCCCTAGTGATTTGTGTTTAATTTCATCCAAAGAAGTTTAGGGTTTGGGTTGTTTTTTTGATTTTTGTCTTGTTTTGCTTTTTTTCCCTGCTTTGCAATGGCAGGACTAACTTAGTGGCCTGGCCATGAAAATGTTCCCTGCTTCTTTCCAGTCCATGACATGCCAAAAGTCCTATCTGCTTTTTGTATTTGCTTGAGCAGTTTTGGTTTTGCAATGCTGCTGTCAGTGCCCTTCTTACACAAACATAGCTCCTCTGCTATATTCCTTATTTCTTCAGTCCAGGACTTCTGCGTTTATCACCCTGTGCTGGTCAGTAAAGCACTGAAGTACTTGGCAGCATCTCATTGACTTAAATATATACTCCACATGCAACAAGACTAGCCTTTGCTGAGTCAGCTCTTTCATATTCAGGCTGAGACTGTACGAGATAGACTTTTTGGTCGTTGTCTTCATCCTGTCTGTGATATGTTATTTTTCCAAGTAGGATACTCCTGTCAGCAAAGCACTGCACAGTAAAAAAGCGCTTTGGTTTGACTCTGATGCTTCAAGCACTGCTTTTCTTTGCCATAAGTTTTGGACACTGAAATTTTATTTTTCCCATTTCCTTCCGTAATGTTAATACTCCTGGTCCTTCACGTTATGTGGCTAGTCTTCTCATTTTTCAGAGGGAGACAGCATATTGATCATATCTTCAAGTGCCTTTTTTTCTAGATTGTCTCTTAATACAAGTGTAGGATGCAGGTGAATTCTTTTTTTTTTGTTTGTTAAGAATTAGCATTACAGAATTAGTCTTAGAACCGTAATTACTTTTCACCATGAAGTGTTTGTTAAGGAAATTATTTCCTTCATTTCCAAGGTAGAAGGTTCAGCCATCAGAAAATCTGCCTATGAGCTTCTAAAAGTAAGAAGGGAGTAATTTCTTGAAAAGCAAAAATCCTGTAGGGACACTTGTGTAACTTTTGCTGTGACCCATAGCTTTGTGTCTATTTTCAAAGCTGACAGCATCATGATTAACTGCACTGGGCCTTTGTGACCATATGATTAATTCTTGTCAAATTCTCACCAAACAGGCTTTTTTTTTTTGGTTTTGTTTTTTTGTTTTTGTTTTTTTTTTTTATGTGTGTGTACAGTAGATTGGCTCATAATAGAAAAGTACGTGCCAATAGCTCAAGTGTCAGTGGCAGACAAGTCATAACTGAAGAGTTTTAAATCCCCTTTGGTAATACAGCCTTTTGTCTTCCCTCCTGTTCTTGGTCTGTTTTTGTTTCTCACTCATCCTCTGTACATTCCTTCGTGCATTGCTCATGTTTCCCCACCCAACCATGTGCAGGACCTAAGTTGAAACTAATGACTTTATTTTTTAATCTTACTGTAGAGCTCAGAAGCCCAAATCATGGACCTGATTTTGCAGAGCAAAAAGATGAGCCTTACCCCAAATTTTTTTGCTGCATCTTTCTGTGAAATGCTTTCACCAGAGAACATACCGTTCAGGCACTAACATCTACAATAACCAGTAGGGTGAAGGCAGAAAATCCTGGCTAAGCTAACTGTTTATTCAAACTATTTCCACTTCAGAATAAAAGTAGGCAGCGGCAAATGTTTAACTGTTGCTTAGTTTTTCTGCTAGAAATTTATGCTTTGGTCTGAAAGAATTTTAAGTGGGTTTTGGTTTATGCGTGTCCATCTGTGTCCTGGACAGGAGAGCCCTGAAGCAGTGTTCCCTAGTTTCTGTTCTCATCTGGAGACTGCTGGCTTACTTGGATGGTGACTATTAGCTCATTCATGGAGAGCACTGTGTATCAGTGCAGAATTTGGATGCTGGTGTTTTCTGCCACATAAAACAAGCCCAACGATTTAGAAATTACACTAGTGGTGAGAGACCTGTGCATCTTTCTTTTCCATCCTACTGATCTGTAGCAAGGACAGTGGATCATCCTCATTTTACATCTAATGTAAAACTCCCGGAGGAACTTGTGGGATATGCACTTGCAAAATGGAAACGAGGAACATGATGGACTTTCTTTGACTTTCATCTTCAGCCATCTTTTGATTTGTGTCTTTTTTCCCATTAGCTCCTCTTCCTGTTCCTGATGCCATACAGGCAATTTCTTCCTTTATTTGCGCAGTAGGACAGAGTGCCTCTTCATTTTCTTCCTCTGTGTCTCACATCACACTTCCCATTTTTCAAAAAACTGAACTGAAGGGTGGGTGAGACCTCATCTGAGCCCTGATCTTAAATGTTCCCTGCCCTGTGGTGTGTGTGACAAGGCAAGGTACTGCATTGCACAGCTCGGTGAGACCAGTCTTACTCAGCTGCTGGTCTGCCAGCCCTTACTGGTCCCTGGACAGATGTGCAAAAACAATTACCAGCTTCTGTCTCCTGGTACTGCTGGCCTGTTCAAAATGCCTAAGTCAGTTTGTTTGGGAGTGGGTACTTAAATTTCTGACTGTTTTTAACTAAAATATTGCTAGTAATAAGATTACAACTTTTCAGATCAGTAGCATTTATCCACCTGTAGCTAAAGCACTTCTGCATTACCCTTGTTCTGACTGCCATCTGCCAGACATCGCTGGGATATAAGAGAAGATCTCCAAAGCAGATCTAGTGAGCTTTCAGCTGGGGAGAGGGTGGTGGGAGAGAGTTGGGGACTGAGGCCGACAGTACAACAAAAAGCATTCGTGAAAGCCTTTGCTGTGTTTTACCTTGTTTCTTGTGTTTTTTTTTTTTTTTTTTATTTTTCCTCTTTTTTGTTGTTTTTTGTTTGTTTGTTTTTTGTTGTGTGTGGATGATTTTCACAGGTCAAGACCTTCTTTACTGGAGTATTTAAGCTATCTCCTCAATTTTATGAGCATCATAGCTGGGCCTTGCAGCAATTACAAGGATTACATAGCCTTCATTGAAGGGAGGCATGTGCACATGAAACTGTTAGAAGTGAACTGGAAGCAGAAGGGTTATGACAGACTGCCTGATCCTTCTCCAACTGTAAGTTTTTAAAATGACAAAGATTCATTGCAAAGGGCAGGAGAGTACAGCTTTGTACATGATTCTCATAATTAAAAACTAAGAAGAAAAATCATTTTTTTGAATTAACTTACCCGTAAACGTCACAGTGTTCTTTTTCTGTGAAGTGGCTGCTGTTTTTATCGCAGGGTCAGGGGTGAAGGTGCTGGTGTCTTCCTCTTGAATTCCCCACATGCGTTGGGCTTGCAAAATGGGTCATTGGTTAATGGGTGTCCTTTGGGTAGCGATGGGAATGGTCCGCAGGTTTTGACAATGACGAGTTGCAGTTCAGCTCCAGACAGAAGAGGAAGTGTCGGGGGGGAAAAAAAGAAGTCAAATCTCACCCATAGTGCAGGAGATGTTAGAAGTACATGAATCACAGCTAATCAGAAACTGTAGATTGTCCAGGTGCTTTGCAAGAGAATCCCACACTTTAAGATGACTTGGAGGTAATTTTTCACATAGTATTAACACTAATTTTATTTTATATATTTTTAATATTACTTTAAAACCTTCTTATACAATGACCTTGTAAGGCAGGATAACATAGCATGAGAACCAGATTCCTCTCTCTTATCTTGAGGTGTCACTGAATGTGTAGCAGAATGTCTCCTCTGAAGTTGAGTACGTGCCTGTGCATATCTGTTGCACATGGCTGTTTTTCTGCTGACTTTAGTGGCGTTACTTCTGATTTACATTAGCCTGACTGAGGTCAGAATAAGGCATATAACATGTTAGATGCAAGTCAACAGAGAATTTTAAAATTTGCATTAAAGATAATTGCACCTGAGTTTATTCCAGCACATGAAGAATATATAAAAAGAGTACTTGGGATCAAAAAATGCATTGTTGTTTCAATAGGATATTGCACTTTTATTAGTCTTTTGAGAACATAAGTCCATTTTTACATGGCACCCAAGTGCTAGATTTACCTTTTTACTACTGACTCTATCAAGGAGAGTTTACTCCTGATGTGTATTTGAAATCAAGCTTCGAACTACTGACATGATTGTCAATAATAGTATATAGAAAGCTACAGAGCTGTAATAGAAAAGACTGTGGAGTAGCAGATACCCTATATCATGGGAAGGTACGCATGCTATATAAGACGTCTGCTTTTTGGACAAGTGATTTTTAACAAGACCTCTGGATAGTAGCTGGACAGTAAAACCTACTGTTGTACTGAACACCAATGCTTTTGGCTTCCAGGAGGAATCAGTCTTTTGTTCCGGGAGATGACAGTACATATAGGGAAGATTTCTGCTTTCCATCGTAGGGTTTTGGTTGGTTTGTTTCCTTTCTCATTTTAGGACCTCCAATAACTGATGTAGGAGTCTCTCATGAAGTTCATCACCGATTTTGACTTCTAATTGTCCTTTGTACCTTTCAGTAGTTCAGTAAACCAATTTAAACTGAAGTTTTGACTGTGGCCTTTTCTTTGTCACCTCTTCTAATTTAATTATTAACTTTGTCACTGCTAACTTTATTGGTTCTTGAAGTGCATTGGTCATGTATGTCATGAGCACTGCCTTTATTTTTTTTTTCCCTTAAGCAAATGTGTCTAATGAACGTTTCATTGTTATTTGTGCTTTTTAGGGAGCAGTGATGTACAAGCTGTGTATCACACTAGTATCTCTCATTTTATTCTTGACACTTACCAAGAACTTTCCCATGGCGTATATTATTGATAACGAATTTCTTGATAAAACACCCTTCTTGTCAAGACTTGGTTACCTGTATGTTGTAACACAGGCAGCAAAACCAAAGTATTATTTTGCATGGACGTTAGGTAAGTCTGGCTACATCACTTATTTTTGTGGGTAACATGTTTATAAATGGGGGAAGAGGTCTGAAACATTGGAGGGAGAAAAAAATAATTAGTCCCTAGACCTGTAGTTCACGTGGGAGGAGGTGTACATGTGTTCTTGTAGGCAGTGGACCCTGCTGAAGTGGGGAGATGTCAAAAGTTATTAAAAAGATGCATAAAATCTCTTCTAGCTGGTCTGACATCCCCTGCCTCTGGAGCCAAATCTGCTTTTCAGGTTCTTGCCAGTAAAGTCAATGTAACAATTTCCTCTTACTTAAAACTTGCTAAGCTTACCAAAATAATTTTTATAGGAATTTTTAGGAAAAAAAAAAAGTTTGCCTCCTGTAATCCTTGATTTTTATGCTTTATTCATAATTTGCCATTTGTATTGGTGGGGTTGCAAGGTTAAAAGTTGTCACACTGTGTATTACAAGTATATTAGAGTGCAAACAGACCCCTCTCTTCCTTCAGAGACGTCTTTAGCACGTCCATCTGTATGAGAAAGCTGTGGTGCTTGTTGGGGGGCTGAAGTTAGGCTTTGCTTCTAAGGCACCATGGGGTTCTATACACACGTTGGCTTTTTATGGTCCAGAGAAAGAATTGGAGAACCATGAGGAAGGTGGGGAACAAAGGAGGTGATAGGAAGGAACCAAGAATCTCTGCAAGGTAAAGGAGAAAAGAAGGAAGAGGGCTCATTATAGAGAGAAGTGATTTTCTTTTATTGGGAACCAGCTAGACTGGTGGTCAAAATAATATTTTTGTATTTTACCTTCTTCTTTTAGAAGTCACCTTTCCCATCTATGTGTGAGGAGTCAAATCCTTCTAGGCCAGGCTGAAAATTGAGACTGATTTCTTTTTTTTTTTTCCCCCCTGGTATTACAATACTTTATGTGTAGGGGAGATCATGAAAGCGCAGCCAGCAATGCATACACCTGAAACTGAGAAGAGCATCATTGAGATGGGGTGGAAAGAGCCAGGGAAATTCATTGCGAGGCTGTGATTAGACTGCTGGGAATAAAACTGACAGATCGAGGGAAAACAGCCAGGACTGGCACATGTGGGATGGGAAAGGCTTTGGGATAAAGAATTGCTTGCTCAGAAACTTATTTTTGTGGGATCCAATGTTAAATTGTTGCCTCCGTTTTTTCCAGAGTTATAGTTAACTAAAAGTCTGCTGTCGAGGAGATAAACTGAACTTGGATTTGGGATGTGACTGAGCCGTAGATGCTGTAGAAATATCTTACCAGTGAGGCAGTTCAGGAAAAGCATGCATTGCATACTGGAGGGTGAGGCCTTGACTGATTATTCACATTGCAAATCCAGGCAGGAGAAGAGCAGACACTTTATCCTTTCGCAGTTTAGCTCCTGGTGGCATGGCCCAGGGCGTTACAAAATTGCCTGCCGAAATGGCCGATAAGTGCTGCCTGTCCTCAGAAAAGGACAGGCACGCTATTGTGTGAGAGCCGCGCTTCTGAATTCCTCCAGATCCACGGAAAGATGGAAAACTTCAGCTTCTCGCTGCTTTAGCAATAGCCACGGGAATGTGGCTGCACACCTAACTCGGAGCTGCTGATGAAACCAGTTTGGGACTGAGGGCCTGCATCCAAGGAGCTTCGCGCCAGAGCTCTTCAAGTCGGCGGGGAAACCTCCGCTCGCTTTTGCTGTATTATTATAGCCCTGGATTTCTGGTTTCTTGCTTTTGGCAAAGAAACGCTAAGCGATCCCTGCCATCCTCGGAGCAAGGTGGAGCAAATCGAGGTGTCCCTCTGCTCTGGGGCGACAGTTACGTGCAGCTCCCGTCTCTGAGAGTGGGCAAGGTCCTGTAGGCCAGTTTGAGGCAGGGTTGTTGTTTGGGGTTTGTTTGGGTTGGGTTTTGGGGGTTTTTTGGGGGTTTTTTTTGGTTTGGTTTGTGGTTTCGTGTTTTTTTGTTTGTTTGTTTTTTATTTTTTGTTTTTTAACAGGGAGAGAATTAAAAACTTGGAGACCTTTCTTTCCATCAGTAAAATCTAGCTCGTTTAGTAAAATGGAAAATAAAATGAAAAGTTTCAGGTTAGAGAAGGTTGCTCATTTATTTGTTTATTGTTAGTCTTGTTGCTTTTAATTGGGTTCTCTCCCTGGTTTTGTGCATTAGGGCTTCTCCATGAACTTGTGCCTGCACTCGTAGCATTTACAAAGAAAAATCGGTTTTCATTCTTGGGAAAGAAAAGCTGACCTTTTTAAAACATAACTTAACCAGGCTTGTATTTTGTAAATCATCTAGAAGGAAAAGCCTTACCTGTATTTTCACTTTCCTTTTCCTTCCCATAGTCCTCAGCGTTGGCTGCACCTAGTGATCCAGAGATAATGAATCCCTTCTGTTTCCTTGGTATTCCAAGAGAGAATTTCTGGCAGGGGCACGTTAAAAGCAGACTTTTGAGACCCAGCGATGAGGTGGCTCCCAGGCGAGGCTGAGAGGGGAGGTCTTTGACCTGGGAAGGAGCAAGAGTGCAGGATGTGAAGTGCTTACCGTTACCCAAAAGTTTCGTTTGCACTTAAAGTAGTTAAGTCTGTAATTGAAGGTACTCGGTATTTGACTTGTGGAGATGGTGAGGTACTTTAGCGAGGCACTGGGCAACTGGATTAGCGAAAGGCATTGTCTGCAGAAGTCTGAATGAAAGTCTTAATTAAAACAACCGTGTTGGAACTCTTAATAGAAATGGTAAGCATGTCTTTGAGACACTACAGTTTCTCTGAATTCTGGAAAATGCCGTGACATCTAGGTACCCTATTGAGGAAAATGCTCCTTCATTTTATGGCAGCTCTTGTATATCTATGTCAGATGGATAATAAGGGCAAAATAGGAGGAAAAGTGATTTCTATCCATTGTTATGTTATTATTTTATTTCTTCTGCCCAAGGAGTAGCTAGTCTTTCCTCTTGAAGAAATGACTCTTGTGTTGCCTTGTAGCAGCGCCCCTTTGCCAAGAGGGAGCTTCTCTTTGAAAGAGAGGGTGCTAACTCTTACGGTTGGACTTGATGATCTTTGAGGTCTCTTCCAGCCATAATGATTCTATGATTCTAACTGCTACAAAGCTGCCTTGAATCCGAGTTTTGTGTCGTACTGACTTGTAAGACAACAGAGCTGCTCCAGCAGTCTGATTTGACTCGTTTTGCTTTGACATTGCAGCGGATGCAGTCAACAATGCAGCTGGTTATGGATTCAGTGGAGTTGATGAGAGAGGCGCTTTCCGCTGGGACCTGTTGTCCAATTTGAATATCTGGAACATTGAGGTGAGTTAAAGGAGTAGCCACGTTGGCATAATTATAGAGAAATGGGCATGGTAACAGGGAGAAGCTTTGCTGGAAGGAAAGTAAGTCCATGCCACCAGGCTGCTCCTCTGTAGCATGAAGAGGTTTTTTATTTTATCTGTTGGGCAGATAGAAAGCATCTGTCACACAGGCTTCCTCACGCTCTGTATTCAGGTCGCATTTCTAAATAGTTTCTAGAAAGCTAATAAATTATTATATCAGATGTTTAATAAATGAGCAGTCAATTACTGTAGATTGTGGCTGGGGTCAGCAGGTCAGTAAATTGCTCGCAGCTACGATTCTCCACCATCTGTGGTGTATTCTGTTTATTTACTTCTAACAGTCTTCCACTTCTGTAACCCAGTTGAGATGGGCGGTGGTAGTGAAAGAGGCTGCCACGAGCAGGCATCGCACAAACGCTTGCAAGGGCTGGGTCCCTGCACGTGCTTGAAGTGCCTCTTGTAAATGGAGAAAAGCAAGGGTTGGCGAGGGAACGGGTACAAACCCAGCAACCTGAATGGGGACTGGCAGGGCCACGGAGAGCTTAGATGGCTGCTGATCTAAGGCTCCATCCAGCAAACCACACTGGTTCTCAAAACATCTGTCAGACATGTTTCTTATGACTGCCATATACTTTTAATATCCATTAGTCTTTTGTAAGCTATTTATGTTTGTTTCTCTAATGCAAAAGATGGCCAATGTAATTTGTTTGCCCCGAAGAATATTTTATGAATGCCAGTGAGAGGTGAAAATGTTTATGTGTCTGAGACTGCTTTCTAAAGGCTTCTTTTTCTTCAGAAACAGGAGGAGCTTCCCCCTATGTTTCTGTAGTTATGATTTTAAAAGGAAAAGCAGATGAAAATAAGTTGACTGCTTTATTGCTGAACGACCTGTGCCTAAGTGGATGTGCTGTAATAGCTCTTCTCAAAAATGGAAGAGCCCCTGTAATTCTTCATTGAAAGATGCCAAAACTGGAAGTATCATTATACATTCTCTCTTTCTCAACGTCCTTTCTCTGTCTTTTTTTTTTTTTAAACCTTAATTAATCCTCAGTGTACATCTCTCCTTGAACAGTACAGAACACACAGCCCAGAAATGCTTTTCACTCCTCAATGATGGCAGCACCCTAGACACCACTCGGAGATCTTGAATCAGTATCTGATTCAGTTTGGGAGCAGGACATGATTCTTACCTTGATGGGCTGAGGCAGTTTCTGCCTGAAGGAGGAAAGTGAAGTGTAGGCAATGCTCTTAGTCAAGCCAAATTAAGGAACGAGGAGCCTTTGCTTCTCTCTACCCACTGAACTGTAAGCCCCTCAAAACTTTTTTTCCTTTTTTGGTCACACGGGCAAGGAAGATCAGGGTGGAGAAATTATTTCCAGGAGCATAAACCAGAGTGTTCTCCATTGATTTGATCATGTGTGCAATGAGAAAAAGAGAGGCTACAGAGACTATTACTTTGGATAAGCCTTGAACTGTCACTTTATGCACCAACAACAATTCCAGGGGTTGACGTTTAAGTGTAATTGTACAGTGCATCTTCATCAGGTATAGCCACCTGCATATGTAAAACTGCTTAAGGGCTGGGAGCTTGAGTGCTAAATGTGGCTAAGAAATGACCTGATCTGTAGTAAAGATAAGCACATGGCAAGAGTTGTGAGGTCATTAAAATGTGATGGGGTGGGGGCTAAATGCACGTGGGGGACTTGAAAGGCTTGGCAGCGTGTGTATTTTGACAGCCGATGACTACTTGCTCTCTTGGTAATGGAATGGGGGAACTTCAAGGAGGCCAGAAGAGAGTGACAATATTAGTTGGAGGAGAAATTACATTTTTCTTGGCTTCTCTTGCTGCAGAAATGCAATTAAAATGTGGCAGTACTGCACTGGGAATTGCTAATCATTTTGACTCTTTAAACACAGAGGATGAAGTGCTAGCCTTCAGGATTCTGCATGGAAGTGCAAAAATACCGGCTGATTCCCCTTGGAATTTTTAACCCATCTTTTCCGCGTGCCCTTGCCTTCAGCTGATACAGGAAAATAATGTGGTCTCACTGAATCCCGTCCCTCCTTGGTGAGGAGGTCCTCGGAGGTTTCTATCAGCAGGCGAGGAACAAGGGGGAGCGGGGATGGGGAACCACCGGAGGTGAAGTTGGCCAGGATTTAGGGGAACTGATGCTGAACGGAGTCCAGCAGCCCTCTAAAGCTGGGGGAACTGGTGCTGCGAGGAGGTACCGGTGGTTCTCCTAGGACCCTGGAGTCCGCTCTGGTTTCTCAAGCTGGGTAATGAGCTGAGAATTGGCTTCTAAATTTAGTCCTAATTTTTTTTTTTTTTTGTCCGTGCTTTTCAATCTTCCCCCTTCTTTCTCCAAATAATAATGCATTACTTTTATTTTTTGTAACACTGTTTTAATAGCACGCTAGGGAAGCGCAGCCTGTGTAATAGGTGGCAAGATCTCTCTTCCAAAAATGAAGCTGTTTATGAACTGAAGGGAAGACCAAGCATTTAAAACAAGAAGGCTTTTCAGATTTCCCGTAATTTGAAAAATAACCAAACTTTGTATTTAATTTTACAAAACAAAGTGAGATTTTACAGTGTTAGCAGTGAGCAACAAGCCTAGTTAATGTCCCTCCCAAAACATATAGTGTAATGACAGACTGTGGCACAGTCTTCTACCAGAGTTAATATTTTCTATGTATCGCCTCTCTAATTTAAAATGCAAGTATTATTTTACAGGTTTCAGTGCTAACATTTCATGTGAACTTCTTTCTTAGACTGCAACAAGTTTTAAAATGTACATTGAAAACTGGAACATTCAGACAGCTGCCTGGCTAAAACGGTAAGAGCAGTGAAACCGTAACGTGCTCGTGAGAATCAAAAACTCTAGATGGCCTGGAAAAACGCCGACTGGCGAATCTCATAAATGTATAACCTCTTGTTCTTTCTTTGTTTCCTGTGTCTGTAACAGTTGGTGGAATACAAGGGTATTTGGTGCTGTAAAGTTTTATTGCTGCAAATGTAAAATGCTTGCATTTTATATACGAGCAGCAAAGCCATAAATGAACTCTTTAGATCTTCCATAATAAAAACTAATAGCATTTTCATGGCATCTTTTAGGCTGCTGTTCGCCTCTGGTATCCTTGCTGTAATGTTTCACCCTTTTACGTTTCCCATGCCTATTCCTACTGGAGGTTTGCCTTGCTGTGTCACTGGGATCCAGTTCAGCTACAACTGGAGAGAACTCGGAATCTTCAGAGCCCCAGTGTAATCTGGTTTGGAGTTATCAGAAGATGCTTGCCAGGGAATCCCTGTTTAGGATACGGAGAAGAGACTTCTTATAGCACTGACAGGATCTGATTTTAACCTGTGACTGTTAAGGCACATATAAATACTAGCCTAAGTCCAAATTTTGTAGATTGAACTGTCTGTTGTTACTTGTTACACTTTTTGGCATGATTAAAGCTCAGCGTACCGTCAATGTGGTGTCTGAAATGCAGGCACAGATTGATTGTAGTTATAACTAATTTTGGTGTTAAATATATACACATCTTGAAAATCGACGTCTACTATTTTTCACGATTCAAATGATGTTCCTGGTGAGAAGTGAGTTATCTTGGCTCGTTTCTTTGGAACACAGCATTTCAGTTAAACTTCAGATAGCCAAATAGACTGGTCGGTGTGTTCTTGAACTGCTATCATTCACGTGCGTCTTTGGAGTCAGATTTTGGGCTGCTAAAGTTAACAGGAATCCCCTGCTTTGCAATAGCTTACGGCACTCCCTGTTTTTCCCAGCATCTGCCAGATAACAATGCGTGAAAATAACCTTTGTTCTCCCATGAAGGGTGGGGTCATGTCTCTTTGTCTTTTGACTCACTCTCAATCTGCCATCAAAGTTTTGAAGGGTAGGGTTTGATTCTGGATAGAGGTATAAAGGTGAATGCGGTCTTCCCTGCCCTTTGCTCCATTATTTATTTAAATGCTGTGAGCACTGGGAGTACTTGTACAGGCCCTCTTTGGATACTCAGTGCATAAAAGCATGCTTCCTCTTTCGTCTAAACCTCCATCTAAACGGCCTGGTCTCTAACAGAGGCAAGAGAAGACCATTAAGAAAACAGAATAAGACCTTAAAAACGGAGAAGGATTTGAAGTGCAGTGTCCATTGTTCAGTTGTATTCAACCTCTTCTTGTTTTGTTGGGTTTTTGTTTTGTTTTTGCAGCGTCTGCTATGACAGAGCTCCCTGGTACCCTACGGCTTTAACATTTATCCTGTCGGCCCTGTGGCATGGTATCTATCCTGGATATTATTTTACGTTTCTCACTGGAATCCTTATCACACTCGCATCCAGAGCAGTATGTACCTTTCGTTGTTCTCTTCTAAGGCCCATGCTAGGTACGATCCAGCTGTCAACAGCAGGGACCCACCCTGACACGGTCAAGCAGCTTGTCCCTGCTGTGAGCCCTCTTTCGTGCCTTTGCGAGCTTGATGTTCGCGGAAACTTTGTTCTGTATTGATGTGAATTACAAAGTACGAGTTAAAACCAGCACCAGTTCTGCACGTGCCGCAATGCTGTCCTTGGCTATCGGAGGAAACATTGCTTGTGGGTGTACGGTTGGTGGTGCCACCGGCTATGTCTGTGCTTGAGATTCAAGGTCATGTTGGAGTCCAAACTTCTGCTAGGTCGTGTTGCCTGTATGCTGGCATGTAATCGGCTCTGGGCCTAGTCTTTCACAGGAAGCTGGTATGGGTTGAGCGTTAGCCCAAACTTGAACTCTTTCATGATTGATGCAGTTAACTGGTCTCTGTGTTTATAGACCTTGTCTTGGGTGGAGTCACCAAAGACAGAACAGGTTTCATGTCTTATTGTTGTTAAACTTATCACTGCTGATCTTTCAGGCTGAACCAGCTAGTTGTGCAGGGCTGGGGAACACCAGCGTTGTCTTTCAGAGTTTGACTATGGATAAATAACCAGGTCAATTTGAAAGGTGAATTAAACTGGTGATCAGTATTAACCGCTATGGCCAGAATAGGTTGCTGAACACGCGATCTTAATCCCCAAAGATACTATGCCAGATACCCAGCATGAGAGTCTGCTCCCGTGATGATGACAGAGGAAATTGAGGGACGCTTCTCTGTTTGCCAGTGGTTGACTGTGAGATCTTGGGTATGCCAGTCCATACACTTCTGTCTTCCTACTCAGTCCTTTCTAACTGGTGTATCAACTTTTCTGTAGTACTGATGCTGATGATAAACAGAGAGTCATACACTACAATGCATCTGTGGGACTTTGGCTGAGAAATGAATTTATGTAATTTTCTATTTACTTTTCCCTGACCTGCAGATAAGAAACAATTGCAGACATTACTTCCTCTCGTCAGTGCCTCTCAAGATAGCCTACGACATTGTTACCTGGGTCGTCACTCAACTGGCTGTGTGCTATACTGTTGCACCATTTGTTATGCTGGCTGTTGAGCCCACGATTAAGTTTTACAAGTAAGTTCTCTCCTCTTGACTGTTATTCTCCAGACTGGCACAGGCTTTTGTTAAATAACCCAAACCATGCTGAAAGGCAGTTGGCATTTCATCAAATTTGAAAAGAGTTCAAACAGGATGCTTAATAACGTGTAAGGGGTGATTTCTGCACTCCTGTAACTTAATGAGATAATAATGCCAAGGCAGAGCACTTCGCTTGTACTTCTCAGTCTTTCTGCGTCCTTATGTGATTTTTCACATACTCAGTTTCATTCTTCAAAACATTTGAGTCTCAGGCATTATCAGGGGCCAAGGCTGGAGAGGTTAAGAATAACATGAGTTGGCAGTGGGAAGGATTCGATGAGAAAAGACCAGGTTTCCAGCTGCCGAATGCGTAGAAGAGGAGATGTGGTAGGTCAGTAGGAGATAAGGAGGGTGCCTGGCAGAGCATTACTTCTTGAAACGAGTATGCTTTTCTTTTTGAATACTTCCATTAGAAGTGAGTACTTCCCTAGGTTTCTTAAAAATGAGAAAACACTAGTGTTCCAGAGTATACTGAATGTATTCTAAGAAAAATAATTTGAAATAGAGAAATTGAGAAAATCATTTGAAAAAGGAAACTAGACTACATTGGTTTACTTTTCTTTCATTCTACAGTGAACTATCAACATAGAGTAACAGGTTTTGGTTAAGAAGAAAGACAATTCCCCACTCTAACATAAAAGACATAAAACCGGTAATCGAGATAGCTGCCGTCAGTAAGTCTGTTTGAAGGGAGTTGAATTTTGACGTGTTCTGTTCCTGTTTCTTAAAACATTTGATTTCAACACAGACAACTAACTATATAAAAATTACTCCAAATCTTTCTTAGTTTCATTCCTTAATATTTTTTGCCCTAGTGACTTTGGACATAGTTAACGTTTAAACCGAGAGACTGTTAAATGAGGAAATTGTAGGCATTTGGATGAGGGCATGAATTTTTGGAGCACTGCACACCTAGCAGTGGACTTAAGCACCTTACAAGGATATTAAGAACTACGGCAAGAAGCATAAATGAGAGCCTAGAAAGATGGTTGAGAGCTGGACCATACTGCCCCTAAATGTCATCTTCCTCAAGCTGCCAGAGCCTCTTGTAATTGTTTTAAGTATTTTTAATTTCTTTCAATCTTGTGTATACCAAATTATTTGAAATAAAAATATTCGATATTTAATAAGATGTCAAATACAGATATCTCTAAGTAGTTGCCTTCAAAAACACAACCCTTCTGTAAACCTCATTACCCGACTTCCCCAGTTAAAAGCTAAGTGTGTTGATTTATTTCAATTCTCAGCACTTGGAATGAATTTTTTTTCTGTCATTTTTTTTTTTTTTAAATTAAAACTTGTACAAGTTTTATGTCCTAAGCTTAAAGGATGTTTCTTCAGAATGTAGCCTTGTATACTCTAACATTAAAAGAGAGATGGGCTGAATAAGTCTGGGGTTGAATTACATGGGTTTATCTGAGCTGTCAGACTTTGGAATCTGGAGTTTGTTGATTGATTCCTTGCCTCATTAACATCCACGGCAACCTTTTTGTGGATGCCAGCAGATACCACGTTCATAGGCTGTGTGAAATTCAAGGGTGTATTTTTGTGCTTTCTAGGTCAGGTTCATCCTTTTTGCATTGGTCTCTCAGCACTAAATTCTGCATGGACTTATTGAGGTTGCACAATTCATGTTATTACCAAAAAAATATAATATTCTCTTTCTGATTTTGTTCCCAGGTCTGTGTATTTTCACATGCACATTCTAAGCATCCTGGTGTTGCTCGTGTTACCGATCAGACCTCAAGCCCACTCCATAAGAAAGGCTCCGAATCAGGCCATGCCAAACTCTGTTAAAAGCAAAGACGAGTGATGCCTCCAAAGAAAATTGCCAACGTCGGGAAATCGAACTGTTGTGTTGGAAACAAAGAAAGAAGAAAAACGGGTGGGATGAGGGTCGAAGTGCAAGACAAGTGGCATTTCTGTTGGTTATCTTAAAATCTTACTGGACAGGACAGAAAAGAGCCTGGATGACTGTATTTCAAATTATTCCAGTTAACCGAGATTTTACAGGCAACGTTTACAGGCTCATGGGGCATTTTGATTTTTTTTTTTTTTAATAAATATTTTTATGAAGTGTTTTTATATATTTAAACTTTTTCACACAGAGAGGCATTTTTGCTCTTTTACAGAAATATACAACTGTTAATCGATAATCTTGTGATTAGAGGGAGAGGAAGCAGCTGGTAAAGAGTTAGGGCAGTTGCCCGATAGCCTGGCGCTGTGGGCAGCTGGCAGGGGAAGCTTTTCATCTCTTGGCCATGAAAAGAGCTGGTGCAAGTAGAAAACTGCGGCCATGGGGTTGCTCAAGGTGCTGGCACTGATTTCTGCCCTGGCAAAGGAGAAGGGGGAGCAGGGCTTTCCCCATTAATTCCCAGAGCAGGGACCGCAGCCTGAGCTCGGCAGCAAGGGTGTTTTACGTCCTTCAACGTTGACGCTTGCTGGCAATGAGGGCAAGACAAATCCCTTGGGAATAGGTGTCTGGGAGTATCGGCAAGTGGCAAAGCCAAGTAAAAGCAAAACAAAAGGCGGGGAGATAGGGAACCCAACCTAGAGTAAAAGAAGGGACATACACCCTGTGATCTCTAGAGTTGTGCTTCCCTAATGATGCAGCTGGTGCTTGTTGCTACATCAGCCTTACTTTGCAGTTTTAGCGTGATGCAGCACTTCCATTTTGGTATCGAAATAACCGAGGAGCCATGCAGGTTTAGTGTTTTAAAGCTCACAGTTACGGGTTAAATCTGAAAAAGGTTTGTAATGGATCAGACTGTTCTACTCAAAAACAACCCGTCTTATGGAGGGGTTGCTTTCCAGCACGGTAACACTAATACGAAACCTGAACAGTAATTATCACAGTCATAATAAATCATTCTCTACCAAATATTGTGATGTGACATGATCATCACAAGAGTCAAGACTGAGCCTTTGACACGTGACTTAGCCTGTTGATGCAAGTTTCCCTGCCTGTAAAGCCTTTGCCTTACAGGGGTGTTTTGAGGCTTAATTTCTAAGAGCAGCTTGTGCATTGGGATAACCTGCTGCAAAATGCTCTGTCAGGGTTGGTTTTTTTTAATTTCATTTTTTTAAAATCCGCTTACCCCAACAAAACAGGCTGGTACAACACATCAAAACCAACTAAAACATTTTTAAAACTGACTGTTTTCCAGGAAGGATTTTATCAGGATTTTGTAGAAGCAATTCCCTTGTTAAAGTATTGATATTGCTTTATGATCATTTAACTGGCGTGTGACTGAGCAAAGAATCTACTGTTTACTGCATTCTCATGTTTGTGTCAGATTAAAATTTTTCAGAATCCTAACGTTTTTGAGCAGAAACAAATCGGTGAAACAGAAGCAAGTTCCAAAAAAAGTTTGATTTTTTTTTTTTTTTTTTTTTTTTTTTTTTTCCCCTCTGGTGGGAAGTTTTTGTCCTGCGACCGCCTCATGATTTAGAGCATAGTTCATGGAAGAGTTTATTTGGTAATTTATTTTGAAGGTGAGATGGGATTAAAAGGTTGATCTGAATAAACAAATTGCTTTGTGTCACTGCCTGGCATTATTCATCACAAATGGGCTCATGTGAAAAGGGGTGAGTGGGTGTGAGAGGAGATGCCCTGGTCTGCAGCCCTTCCCAAACTGTGCGTTCAAGAAAGACCAGATATTATCTGTGGGGTCTGTTTTCTAGTGTTTCACATAACTGGAACTTGCTTAACTCTTAACGCCATCGCCTTCTGTTGTCGTTTCAGCTTCTACAATGTGCTGAATTAGTCAGGGCTGGTGAGTAAACCCTTACTCTCCCGTCACGTTGTCTTCTCAACCTGAACCTCTCCCTGAAAACAGAAACCCTGGGCTTTAATGAGAACCGGTCACGTGGGTTTAATCTGAACTAAAATTGAAATGATCTTTTTGAAACATTGCATTTGCAGGGAAACTTGCTGGTTCAATTAGTCTGAAATCTGGCAGGGGAAAAAGGAAATAATCTAAAATCTTAGCTGTACTGTGTTACTGTGGACTAGGCAGCTTACCTAGCCAAGCATGGCAGTCCTGCAAAGCTAACCCAGAGGGGATTTAAATCGCTGTAAAATATTCCTTTGACAAAAGGCTGTTAGCTTTAGTACTGCCTTTCTCAATCCGTTTTACTGACTCTTCCTCCCCTTTTCTTCTTCTCAGGGGGAGAAAATTTGATTTTATAGGAGGACTGCAAACAGCCACTACTATTTAGAGGAGACTTGTGCTAGTAGCGTGCGTCTGCTTTGTGCGGGAGTGTACAATTTTAAGAGCCAAAGTAGAAATTCAGGTGATAAGGATGTGCTGTCGAGAACTTGAGTACTGGCTTCGTATTACTTGGGATACTGTAATTTGAGGGTGCGCTTCAGTGATTAAAATACGTGATTGTGATTGTCAACATGTTATTAGTTTCTGGTTCCTCCCTGGGTTCCTTGTGCTGCAAAAAGCTGAGGAGCCGAAGCTTCTAGAGAGATTCTGAAGACGAAAGCAATCTGGATGGTTTGTAAGAGAGATACATGGGACTGTCAGACAGAAACGAAAAAGGTAGATTGTGCTGGATTGACATAGGTTGTGTTTTAAATATAGGAATACCAAAAAGACAGCACCACCATCACCCCCTTGGATTGAAGGCAAATTCTAGCTGCTATTTTTCAGCACATTTGGCTGCATTAAAACTAAACGAGAAGTTAGCACTTAGCAGAGAGGACTGAATGAAGAGTAAAACTTCGTTTCAGCTTAGCTACGGGTCTGATATTTAAAGAAGCAACAGCTCAGCAGTTTCCTTAGAAGGCTGGAAGCACAAAGTACTTTCTTTCACTCCCTGTCAGCTATCCCCCTCCTTGGGTACATTCCTGCGTGTCCCCTCGGAGCATGCCAAGGGATGGAGACAGCCCAGGCAGTGGGCTAGAAGGTGGGCAGATATTTTTCTTCCCTTTTTGGTCGCTCTGTTCTGCATGCATACATTGCACATAGCTGGGATTTTTGCATCGCTTAAAACGAAGTAGGAAGGTGAGAAGGCCATAGATTTTTATTCTATTGGTAGGTGTTTGCATCAGCCTGCACTTAGCTCTCTGTCCGTTTGCACGTGTAAAAGCGGGCTCAGCAAACTAGATCTGGATCCTTTCTTAGAAATACAGGTTGAAATCCCAACACCCAAGGAAGTCTAACGGTAAAATTCCTATCAGTGAGGTCAGTGTCTCTGATATTTAAAGCCTTTATCTCCTTATCCCTGATCTGGGGACTTTATTTCTGCAGCCAGTAGAATATTTTTCGAAAGGGACGAAATGGAAACTTGTCTTTTAACATTGAAGTGTGTCACAAGGAATGCCTATAGTCCACATGTGGACGGAGGAAGAGCACGTCTGTCCTCAGCCTTGCCTGAGACGAAGCGACACGCATGGTTGCATACAGAAATAGCAAATATCCTGTGAGGTACCTTTCTCTTTCCTTGTGTCACCAAACCGATGTCCTTCAGCTCTCGGAGGCTGGAGGCGTTCCACTGCGGTACAAAGTGGGAAGCCTTGCCCGACATCTCTGCGTGAGTACGAATGCCCAGGGTGCACTTTAAAAACATATTATTTTGCGCGGCATCAGCCTGCTGCTCCCTCTTTTTCTTAGAGATGACATTAATAAGGCGCATGAGGCGTTTGGATTTGCTCTGGGTGGAAACCGCAGCCTTCTGAGTGCTGATGTGATGCGATGTGACGTGATGTGACATCAAGCGGCAGCGTGTTTGCTGGGTGACGTTTACGAGCGGTGCCCTCTGTGGGCGAGTGGACCCGGACACTCGAGCGAAGATTCAGGTGTGCCAAGTGGGGAACGCTCCAAAGGCAAAGGGTTTTTGCAGCCGTGCAACCGCACTAACTGCGGGATAGGTGGTGGTTTTCGCGTGTGCGATAACAAATGTGTTTTGCCTTGGGGCAGGAGAGCAAGAGAAATTGAAAACCTAGGTGGAGTGGGAAAAAAAAAAAATAATTACAGGAGGAAATGCTGCCTTGTTGGTAGAGAAGATGGCGTTTATATACCTTAAGAACTGGGGGTGCGCTTTCATTTGCCTGACTCAAATATTTTCTGTGGAAGGGAACCGCAGGATGGGGGAAAATCAGTTCTGTGAAGCGCCCTGAGACTGCCCTCAGGACCTGATTTCTTCTCCATCCATAGAGCAGCTCTGAAAGTGAGGCCCAGGCTTGCCTGGAGACTTTTCTACGGCGGCCTGGAGGAGGTGAATCTGGCCTGTGAGGCCCTGGCACGATCCCTCCCAATCCAGGAGCATGCCATGCTCACGGTAGGCTTTCCCCATCCCTCCCTCAGATGCCGTACAGGTCAATACTGTGCCCAGCAGTACTGGGAAAAGACTTTTGGAGGGTACCGGGGCCGAACCAGCCACGGTGGGATGGGGTGAGGGGAAACACTGCCAGAGTCTAGACATGCTGAGCAACCCTTGCCTTGTCCAGGGATGGAAACTGGTACCCCTCTTCATCGGAAACATCTTCAGATGGTGACATTGTCACTGCTCTGAAACACATGGATTTCTCTTTGTTCGTATTTATTCTTGCCTTGATGGCTTCTGTATCAGTGCACTTTAGTTTTTCTGCTGTAATTGTTTTGTTTGTGTTTGAGAAAGACGGTGTTATGTGGCTATTTTATATCCGATCAGGGAGATGATACGCAACTAAAGGCAACCTCAAAAGATGTGGTGAATAATTTGAGTATAGGAATAGATAACGTGAACACATTCGAAGTCTATTAATTGATTTACCTGTCTGTGACACTGAGGTGGGGTTTTTTTCCCGAGTACTCTTAAATG